TTCTAAAGCTAAATTAGATAGAAAAAAAATTGTGTGAACAAGACCTGAAATATTATGAAAAAATAGAATGTTGATTTGGTTCAGTAGCTGGTCATACTTCAGTAATTTCAGAATTAGAAACAGTATGAAATCATTTTCAGATGATGGAGATTTTAATATTTACATATCACATCACTTTTTTTTCATTTTATTGTATAGAGTTTTAACCAAAACACTATAGGACTCAACAGTGTGCAGAAATTTCTGAAGGTAATTTTTAATTTTGCTCATTAAACACACGACCCAGTAATTCACACCCATAGCTCAATGTACACATGCAGACTAAACCCAAAGCTTCTTCTGCAGGTACTTCCGAGTTGTGCCAGCCTCTGTGTTCCTTCAGAAATTTGCCAGCGACAGAAGGCACATGAGACGTGAGGACGGGACCTGGACCCAGCCCCCACCATCAACACCACCAATATCCACACCTGGTATTATAGAAAAATGCTTCTGTTAACAATAAAGTTTTCTTCTATTTAAGCAATCTAGCAGGGAAGGGTTAAGTAAAGTATTGATAGATCCTATTGATAAAGTACTTTGTGAGAATGAGAGGCAAAATTAGTTTTGAAGTTAGCAGTACAATTTTTTAAACCCTTGATGTCTTAGCTGCCGTAATCATTTTTGTAAGTATCCCTCTATAGCAAGTCACCTCAGTAGAGCATCAGCTTTTAAAAACTGGCAGGCTGTTTCTCCACCTCTATTATAGTTCGAATGGGATGTTATGAGGATAAGTTAGTATATTTTATATTTTACGGCTCCTTCTTTCCTGCCTCAAAATTAGAGAGAGTTATCCTCCCCATTCTATTCCTAAACTGTCTTCTACCCCACTGACACTCCTCCTGTGTCTCTGGGTGCCTCTCCATCCTATTCATCCCTCTCTCTTCCAAGCCATCAGAGACCACTAGAACCACCATCTAATCCCCTGTCCCTTTCCCTTAGGAACCTCTCCTCTCCTTTCAATTTATTGCCTCCCAGCATAGCTCTGCTACTCATGATAGTACATTGTTTGTCATTATTTACACTTGATGAATTCATGATTTATTACAATGTAGATTATAATTTTTTCTTCTTTCTTTCTTTATATATGGGGTAACTTTTTTAACTATCGATGTTTGACATACCAGTACAAGATGCATATTGTGGTATGGAAAATTGGGCTCTAAAAATGAAGTTCAAATTTGTCCTAGGTAAAAATTTGCACTTTGGCTTGAATTGTCTCTTTGTATAAGGATATGCTGAGGAATTGTGAGGGTTAAAGATTACCAATATAAAACATCTCAGTCAAGAAAGTTTTCAGACACATATTTAATGTATGATTAATGATTTTGATAATCATATGGGACTTTTTATACATCCATCAAGATATATTTGTATATTTCAATAACAGTATAAGATGCAAGTTGTTTTATTGGGTACAGTATAGACATGTGAAAGCAAATAAAGAGGGTACACATATTAGCAATAAAATGAATAAATATATGTCACTTAACTGCATATGAATTTTTCTGGGAAATAGGACAAATGTGTTTTTCTTCCATATATTGTTTTACTAAAAGGTAAAATCAGGTATAATAACATCACTTTATAATTAAATCTTAAAAAAGATTATTTTGAACTTGATATAGACAGTATTTTAGAAGGATGAATTTTGCTAAATCCATGCAATAAAAATGTCCCTCGCTACAATGTGATATTTCAAATTCAAAATATGTGCCAATTGAGAAAACTTGCTTATATGTAAATGTTTATATTCTCATTTACAGAGTCAGTGCATAACATTGACGACTTCATTAGCATGGATCCCAAGCGAGGTTTTGGAACAGTATACAACCTTCAAGATTTTGTTCGCAGATTTTATAAAAATCTGTAGTATGTCCACAACGAAGTACTGTTATGCTGTTACACTCCTATGAAGACCTTTTTAATGCACAGTTCACACGATAACTTGTTTTACTATTTTTGAAATAGAATAGCTTGTATTTGTGAGAAATGTTTTTAGCTGTCAAATTCTTCTGAATTATTATTCTTATTTTTTCCATTGTTTCATATTAGTACTGGTTTTCCGACATTTGTGATGTTGAAGCGATATTTTTTTAAAGATTCTCCTGGTATAGAAAAAAGCTATTCATTCATGACAAGAGTTACTAATATCTTACTTCCACTATTGAACAGTATGTAATTACTACTTCAGAATAAAATGTAGATGTATGAACTAATACGAATTCCTTTGTGAGGCTTGTTTTTGGTAGATAATTGTGAAATGATGGTATCAACCATAATTGCATCTGTGTTACTTGCAGTCAGTCTCCTTCTGAAAGTCAGAGATTTGGTGATTTTCATTTGTGACAGCATTGGTTTATAAAAGAATTTTAATGCATCTAAAATGGTTCATGTAATGCATCTCAATGTTAGTGATATTTTCTGTAATTGATAGGAACAAATATATATTTTGATAAAAATA